AATCACCCCCAAGAAATGTCCACTGAGCATTGACCTTTGGCCACTGGCCCTCTGCCGTCTGTAATTGATCATTAGAATAGATTGGAAACCACAGGACATTGTTCTGCTGTCCAGTCTCTTTCCTGCTTATTCAGGCCACTGTCAGTCTATAGGCAGTCATAGCAGCGTCATCTCAGGCAGGTATAAGCTGGGCACTATTATAAGAATCTGATCCCTGTGCTAATGGGGGAATAACAGCTCAGAGCATGTTGACAGAGCACAGGAACCATAAGCACACGGGCGTCTAGAAACCTTCTCTAAGCCGTAGTAAAACTCCATTGCCTCTGTCCCAACGGCTGTTAAAGAGAATTATAAAAACACTAACAATTACAATTCCTGACCATGTCCTATAACGGGGCATCCAGACCTAAGAAATGCCAGTTAATTATCGTGGCAAGGTTAATTACAAAGAAACAGATTGTGTTCCTTTCCAGAATCCTAGAAGGGGTCGAAGGGTCCACAAGAGTCACTGCAGCTCCCAGCATGGTGGTACTCTAAAGGCCTTCTCCCTCCCCTGCCTTGTCCCACACTTCTTTGTCTTCAGAATTCTCGCCCTGCCAAGTCTCCATTTGCCTGATGCTGAAGTGCACAAACGCCAGCTTGTAAGTGGATTCTAAAGAATTATGATGAGCCATAACTTCATATAACAGCATTCTTCTCTCCACTGAGTAATTGTAAGTTTTCGATTATGTGAGGTTGGAAAAAAATTAATATGGACTTTAAAGACCATCAAAGTCATGCTAATTTCAGGGAATCATTAAATTATGAAGGGATAACTTGGCCGATTTGCACTAACATGGTCCTGTGAATCATGATTTCTCATACTAAGAATTTATGCCTTGCCATATCTTTAATGCCGGTAACCTTTGAAAGATGTAAAAAGCCATCTGTTTAATTACTGCCCAATCTACTGTGTGCTGCTCGGGGAGCTAATGTGTGATGTTGACTTCCAGCTCTCAGCTTCAGCTGAGCTCCACTGTGCTATTCAGTGGGGGAAAAGGAGTAGGAAAGGAAAGGAACAATGAGAAAATGCTGTTCCATACCCAAGGTGATTTCTTCGATGTATGAGAGGAAGGGCCGAATGATAGATTGTACCACCAGAAAACAATAGCTGTGTCACCTACTGGTGCAGGCCTACGGCATCTGTAATACTCTCAGGAATAATAAATCTATTTTTATGCTCTGAGTCACTTTGATGATTTGAGTTTTTCTCCCTTTGGTTGTTGGACTTGTGTGCTAGCTAATCCAAGAACCTAAGAATGTGAGAGACAGCAGAGGTATTTAGACACATCTCTTTATACTCTGCCTCAACCCACCAAGATTATATATATATTGCTAGGTCACGGTCCTCCCGTTGTTCATTGATTTGCTCGAGCGGGCCCAGTAACGTCTCCATCGTGAGACTTGTTGTTACTGTGTTTTGGCATATAGAATACATCATGGGTAGCTTGCCAGGCTTTGCCGTGTGGGCGAGATAGTCTCAGTAGCTTGCTGGGCTCTCCGAGAAGGGCGGAGGAATCGAACTCAGGTCAACCATGTTGGTTGCATGCAAGGCAAACGCCCTACCAGCTGTGCTATCGCTCCAACCATATATATATATATATATATATATATATATATATATATATATATATTCATCAGCTGGGGATTAGTTCAGCCTAATTACTTAGCTTGGGAAACTAAGACTCTGCAAAGTGTTTTTCCCTGTGTAGCACAGCTAGTTAGTTGCAGTGCTAGAATGGAAGCTCCTCCAACTTGTTAAACTGAGTCATCACATTGCTTTTCTGTAACAGCCTTCAGTCCAAACTATTTCCCAGGCACTGTGTTTGGCCTTGAAGATAGAAGAATAAAAAGGACATGAGTGCCAGCTTTGGGTGCCCTCTCTAGGGCCCGGGGAGCGAAAGCAGTGCAGAAGTGGCTGTGCTGATTGGCTAAATGAGTTGTGAAGAAGCACATGTGTCTCTGAGTGTAGAGTGTGATACACATAGAGCAGAGGCCCTTCCAAGAAATGACATTTATGGTGAGCTTGGTGAGGTATGAGGAGACATAGGAATAAAACTAAGAATTTTAGTACCAGGTATGTAGGGTGGAAGAGAATAGGCAGAGAAAAAGACCCGGGGCGGGAGGGGCAGCGTTATAATACAATGGGTAAGGCATTTTTCTTGCACACTCCAGCATGGTTCAATGCTGATTCAATCTGTAGAATCCCATATGGTCCCACAAGCTATGCCAGGAATCATTCCTGAGTGCAGAAGCAGGAGTAACCATTGAGCACTAGGGATTGTAGCTACACAAAGCAGAAAGAAAGAAAGAAAGAAAGAAAGAAAGAAAGAAAGAAAGAAAGAAAGAAAGAAAGAAAGGAAGGAAGGAAGGAAGGAAGGAAGGAAGGGAGAGAGAGAAAGAGAGAGAAAGGGAGGGAGGGAGGGAGGGAGGGAGGAAGGAGGGAAGGAAGGAAGGAAGGAAGGAAGGAAGGAAGGAAGGAAGGAAGGGAAAGAAAGAAAGAAAGAAAGAAAAAGAAACAGAAAGAAGAAAGAAACAAACAAAGAGAGAGAAAGAGAAAGAAGAAAGAAAGAAACAGGGAGGAAAAAAGAAAGAAAGAAAGAGAGAGAGAAAGAAAGAAAGAAAGAAAGAAAGAAAGAAAGAAAGAAAGAAAGAAAGAAAGAGGAAGAGAGGGAGGAAGGAAGGAAGGAAGGAAGGAAGGAAGGAAGGAAGGAAGGAGAGAGAGAAAGAGAGAGGGGGAGGGGCCTAGGGTGAGGTGGACCTTGGCATGGCTGAAAAATGGAAAGAGTCAAGTTAGCCAAAGGAAAGCATAAGCATTAGCACAAGTCGAGTGCTGGGGCCAGACTGCACCAGGCCTTGGAGCCTGTCCAATTACAGTGCAGGAAGACACCAATCAAGAACTTAAGCAGGGGGTAGAAGTCTCCAAGTTTTGTATTTGAACCATAACTCTGCTGACTGAAGAACAGACTGGGGGAGGATGAAGATGTAAAGCAGGGAAACCAAATAGGGTGTTCTGTTGATTCGGGTGAGAAATGGAGGTGGCTTGTACTCAGACAGGCTGGAAAGGCCTGGTAGGACGCCAGGTACATTTCAAAGGTAAAGGGGCAGAGAGAGTACAGCGGGTAGTGCTTTCGCCTTGTATGTGACCAACTCAGGTTCAATCCCCGGCTTCCCATATAGTCCCCTGAGCACCGTCGGAAGTAATTCCTGAGTTCAGAGCCAGGAGTAACCCCTGAGTATTGCCAGGTGTGACCCCCCCCAAAAAAAAAAGTCAAAGGTAGAAGCAACTGAGCAGCTTGGTGAGTTGGATACACCCGGATGGATAAGAAGTTTCCAGAATGACTCTCTGGAGCAGGGGAGGGAACTCATGGAGCTGAAGAATAAGAATAAGAATTAGCATGCTTTGTGGAGCCTCAAGGCAATCTTTGCACCCCTGGTGACCCCTGTCACTGCCTGGCCAGAGCAGCACCACATCACAGTGACCACACATGGAATCCTCCAACATACACAAGCAAGCTGAGTAGCCCAGGAGTATTGCATGGGCTCCCTGAGCACCAATTAGAACACACACACACACACACACACACACACACACACACACAAAGAATGACTCCCATATTCTTGGTTGAATAACAAGGCAGATGTTGGCATTCACACAGGGAAGAGAATTTGCTATGAAACCACTTTGAACCAGGTGGGATGAAGATGTTTCTTCTGTTGTTTCTGAGATGCTTGGGAAACATCTATGGAAATTGAGAGAGGAGCTGCAGATCCTGAGCTCAAAAAATGATCCCAGTTAACTGTGAATGTCCATGCATAGACTAGCATCAATACATTGCCTTTGAACTTACAAGATTAATATACCTAGTAGAGTTATTGAACCTAGGGTGAAATAGGATATATATTTAATAAAGAAAGTCATTGGAGGTAAAGGCAGTGGTATGATTCAAGCACCTACTGGATATGAATCCATGGGTCTCTTTCCAGTTGATGAGAAGTGAAAGTGGGGCTGGGTTTTGAGTATCTTGGCTAGTCTGATCCCAGCTGTTCTGTATTCACAGGTTATAGAGAGAGATATCTGTGAATAGTCTTAGATCTCTGTATGCGACTACAAAATATGTATGTGACTACCTTGGTGTATAATGTGAAACCTAAAGTCAGAACGTCCCATCATTATGGTCATGCATCATGATATGTATATATATGATATATAGATGTATATATGCACACATATATACGATATGCTATATATTGATATACGATATATTGGTCATGCATCATGAATGAATGGTAAGGAATAGATCTCTATCAGAGCCATTGCCTACTGTCAACTAGTGACACAGTTGAATAATCAGAACTGGTTGTCTAGCACTTGCTCTATGTCTCTCACCCTGGTAATGAAGCTTCACCTTCCATTTTCTCTGCTCCAGTTCAGATAAGGAGCAGGAGGAGTGTCTGGGTCTGTACTCACTCCACATCCCTCACTCCCTCTCACATCATCTACCCATGCAGGACTGTTCACGTACACCACATCATCCTTCATTTGGCAGAATGAAGCTAGAAGTCAAATGAGAAGGCCAAGAATCTTTCCAGTTCAAAGAGCAAAGTGCTCCAGAGATTAGCAGGTGCCAGAGGCTATCAGGCCCACCTGAAAAATGTCTCCTCCTCCATGCAGCCTTTCCAAAGTTACCCTCAGCAGCATCTTCCTTATTGAGCAGAACTCAGCTCAATTCAGCTCAATTCCTGACATCTTTATTCTTCATCACCAATAATTAAGTCTTAGGGTCTCCCTAGCAATACCTTCCCTTGGACCAAGGAGCTTTGCCTGGTTGACATGTGACTATATATGTTTATTCTGTGATACTCATGCCTGCATTTTTGACTGGGACTTGGTTGTGATCACTTGATCCAGGCACTTTGCACTGGTTTTGTGCTAATTCTGCCTTTCTTCACTTCCACAGAAATGAAGATGCAGTCAGTCAGATGGCCGTCACTCCCTTTGTCTTGACGGCAAGTTCACCATCTTCTCTGGAGGTAAGATCGCTCTTGAATGAATGGATTTGATAGTTCTGTCATGATTGGGTATTTCCGCACCACCACCAAAATCTCCTTTTTTTTTCTTTTTTCTTTTTTGCTTTTTGGGTCATACCCGGCAATGCACAGGGGTCATTCCTGGCTCTGTGCTCAGGAATTACCTCTGGCGGTGCTCAGGGGACCATATGATATGCTGGGAATCGAACCCGGGTGGGCCGCGTGCAAGGCAAATGCCCTACCTGCTGTGCTATCGCTCCAGCCCCCCAAATCTCCTATTTTTTTATTTGAGCTTTAGTATTTCAAACCCACCGAATTTTCCTATTGAAAACACAACATATTTGAGATGTTTGTGGTTTGATTATAAGCAGTGTACAACAATGTTAAACACACACATTGGAACATAGGCATATGAGTTTTGCTCTGTCACCATTCCTAAGGTGTCTTGTAGATGTATAGTTTGTCATAGGTGAGCTCTCCAGAATTTAGTAGAAAATTATCTAATGATTGAATTGTCCTTCTTCATGATTTTGAAACACTGTGATTACAAGTGTCCAAATAACTATTTTTGTCTGTTAATGGGTACTTTCCAGTTCAATAAGATTGCTATCATATCATCTGTTAAGAAGAGAGACAGGGCCAGAGCGATAGTAAAGCAGGTAGGACATTTGCCTTGAAAGCAGCTGATCCAGGTTCGATCCCTGGCATCCCATATGGTTCACCCAGTACCACCAGGAGTAATTCCTGAGTGCAGAGCCAGGAGGTAACCCTTGTGCATCGCTGGGTTTGAGTCAAAAAGAAAAAAAAAAGAGAGAGAGAAAGAGAAGAAAAATCAATGTGTCTTCCTGAGAAAATATTATGTTCTCTTCATATTTTCTATTTAAAAATTTAAAATATTCATATTTCTATTCCCAAAATAAATACATTTCTATTATAGCTAATCAAAGAGTGCTGAGTTATTAGAAGAGAAAAATTTTCCTTCTGCAACTTCACAGGAAGTTATTATTTAATGTTAAGTGTTTTTCCTTTTTCCTTTGCTTCCACAGCCTAGATAAATGTCTATATATAAATGGTGTCTCTTTTTGGGGGATGGAGGCATAGTACAGCAAGTAGGGCACTTGCCTTGTACACACACAACTGACCCAGGTTTGATCCCCAGCATCTCAAATATTTGCCAGGAGTGATCTCTAACCACAGTGCCAGAAGTCAGCCTGAGCATCACCAGGTGTGCCCCAAAACAACAGCAACAACAAAAATGGTGTCTCTTCTGTGTAAATTCTTGGTCATATAATATACACGTTTTCTATTGAATGAGCACAAAGTATGTGCCAGGGATTATTTGAGCATGAGAGATACAGGCATGAATAAAGTAGATAAGACCTCATGCCATAGTTCAGCTTATACTGAACGAAGTAGATAACTGACAGATCAATACATAATTGGAGAGAAATATAATAGTGTAGGTATCTTGCAGCACTGTCCTCCCATTGTGCATCAATTTGCTCCAGCGGGCCCAGTAATGTCTCGTCTCCATTGTGAGACTTGTTGTTACTGTGTTTGGCATATCGAATATGTCACAGGTAGCTTGCCAGGCTTTGCCGTGCGGGTGAGATACTCTCAGTAGCTTGCCAGGCTTTCCGAGAGGGGCGGAGGAATAGAACCCAGGTCGGCCAGGTTGGTGGCGTGCAAGGCAAATGCCCTGCCCGCTGTGCTATGACTGGTGACCACATTGGCATTTTGGAAAAATGTAACATAATATATAGGTAAAACCGAAGTGATTTTTAAAAGTACAGAGGGGCTGGTAGAGCAAATAGGGCATTTACCTACCCCAGCATCCTAAATAGTCCCCCAAGCACCACCAGGAATAATTCCTTAGTGCAGAGCCAGGTATAAGCTCTGGAAATCACTGGTGTGATCAAAAATATATCTATATTAAAAAAAAACTTTCTCTATGGAGGGGATAAGAAATTCAAGTGAGAAGTCGCCAGGAGCATTTGAGGAATATGGCTGGGAGCATATTGAGGGCCTACAGAGTAGTGAAGTATAAAACGAAGGGAAGAGCGTGGCCATTGGAGAGATTAAGAAGTTTGGAATTTAGGGGCCTGGAGCACAGCGGGTAGGTCGTTTGCCTTGCACACGGTCGACCCGAGTTCAGTTCCCAGTATACCATATGGTTCCCCGAGCACTGCCAGAAGTAATTTCTGAGTGCATGAGCCAGGAGTAACCCCTTTGCATCGCTATATATCACTGGGTGTGACCCAGAAAGCAAAAAAAAAAAAAAAAGAAAAAAATTTGAAGTAGAAGCCACTAGATACTAACTAGATGGTTTTTGATGGAAAAGGAAATGACCTTGTGTCCAGTCTGATGGACAGACAATGGACTTGAGAATGGATGTCCTAGAAGGCAGAGAAGCCCTGGGAAGAACTGACTATGGCATTTTGAACAAAGAAAAGTGAGTCAGTTCTTGATGTTTCGGATGTTGAGTTATACTTGGAAGTTAAATGGGGGAGGTGAGGGGATCCAGATAATTGCGGATAAGCCTAGGATGATGGCCAACCAACTCAGCAGATGGAAGTCATACTCCCTCCAATCTGCTTGAGAGTCAGTAGGTTTGGTTTGACCTGTTCTATTGCTTCTTCAGTAGGGTGCTCTAAAGTCAGAGGTTTAAGTAGGATTCATCCCAGGGATGCAAGGATGGTTTAACATTCGGAAATCAATCAACATAATCCACCATATCAACAAAAGAAAAGATAAAAAGCATATGATCATATCAATAGATGCAGAGAAAGCATTTGATAAGATCCAGCACCCCTTTATGATGAAAACCCTAGCCAAAATGGGTATAGAGGGGACCTTCCTCAACATAATTAAAGCCATCTACCACAAGCCTACAGCAAGCATCATCCTCAATGGGGAAAAACTGAGAGCCTTCCCTCTAAGATCAGGGACGAGACAGGGATGCCCACTCTCTCCACTGCTGTTCAATATAGTACTGGAAGTACTTGCAATAGCGATTAGGCAGGAAAAAGATATTAAGGGCATTCAGGTAGGAAAGGAAGAAATCAAGCTCTCACTATTCGCAGATGATATGATACTCTACTTAGAGAACCCAATAACTTCCACCAAAAAACTCCTAGAAACAATAGACTCGTATAGTAAAGTTGCAGGTTATAAAATCAATACCCAAAAGTCCATGGCTTTCCTATACGCAAACAGTGAGAGAGAAGAAAGCAACATGAAAAAAACAATCCCGTTCACAATTGTGCCCCAGAAAATCAAGTACCTAGGAATCAGCTTAACTAAGAAAGTAAAGAACCTGTACAAAGAAAACTACAAAACGCTACTTCAGGAAATAAAAGAGGACATGAGGAAATGGAAAGATATCCCCTGCTCATGGGTCGGGAGACTTAACATTGTCAAAATGGCAATACTACCGAAAGCATTGTATAAATTCAATGCAGTCCCTATAAGGATACCCATGACATTCTTCAAAGAAATGGAGCAAATACTCCTGAAATTTATATGGAACAATAAGCCCCCACGAATAGCTAAAGCAATTCTTGGGAAAAAGAAAATGGGAGGAATCAACCTCCCGAACTTCAAACTGTACTACAAAGCAGTAATAATTAAAACAGCATGGTACTGGAACAAAGGCAGAACTGCAGACCAATGGAACAGGGTTGAATACACTGACATCTCTCCTCAATCATATGCTCATCTAATCTTTGATAAAGGTGCAAGTAATGTGAAGTGGAGTAAGGAAAGCCTCTTTAATAAATTGTGTTGGCATCACTGGACGGCTACATGCAAAAAAATAGGCTCAGAACTCTGCCTAACACCATGTACAAAAGTAAGATCAAAATGGATTAAAGACCTCAACATCAGACCAGAAACCATAAGGTACATTGAAGATAAAGTTGGCAAAACCCTCCATGACATTGAAGCTAATGGTATCTTCAAAGATGCCACGCCACTGGCCGAGCAAGTGAAAACAGAGATAGATAAATGGGACTATCTTAAACTAAGAAGCTTCTGCACCTCCAAAGAAACAGTGACCAAAATACAAAGACAGTCTACAGAATGGGAAAGGATATTCACCGAATACACATCTGACAAGGGTTTGATATCCAGGATATACAAAATACTGGTTAAACTCCACAAGAAGAAAACATCCAACCCCATCCAAAAATGGGGCAATGAAATGAACAGAAACTTTCTCAAAGAAGAAATCCGAATGGCAAAAAAACACATGAGAAAATGCTCTACATCATTAATCATCAGGGAGATGCAGATCAAAACCACAATGAGATACCATCTCACACCTCAGAGACTGGCCCACATTCAAAAGAACAAAAGCAACCAATGCTGGCGTGGATGTGGCGAGAAAGGGACACTCCTTCACTGTTGGTGGGAATGTCCACTGGTTCAGCCCTTCTGGAAAACAGTATGGACGATTCTCAAAAAATTAGAAATTGAGCTCCCATTTGTCCCAGCAATACCACTCCTGGGAATATATCCCAGAGAGGCAAAAATGTATAGTCGAAGTGACATCTGCACTTGTTTGTTCATTGCAGCACTCTTTACAATAGCCAGAAACTGGAAGAAACCTGAATGCCCAAGAACAGATGACTGGTTAAAGAAACTTTGGTACATCTACACAATGGAGTACTATGTAGCTCTTAGAAAAGATGAAGTCATGAAATTTACATACAAGTGGTACAATATGGAAAGTATCATGCTAAGCGAAATGAGTCAGAAAGAGAGGGATAGACATAGAAAGATTGCATTCATCTGGGGGATATAAAGTAACAAAGTATGAGATTAATACCCAAGAATAGCTGAGATCAGCACCAGGAGGATTACTCCATAACTTAGAGGCCAGCCGGGTATCCTTGAGGAAAGGGCAGTTCAGATAGAGAAGAGAGCACCAAATAAAGGATGTTTGGAGGATCCTCCCAGGAGGGGAGATGCATGTCGAAAGTAGACTATGGACTGAACATGTT